GCATGTGATTCTGTTTTCAAGCGTTGGGCAACCAGCGTCCTAAAACCATACCCGCAAAAAATAAACAAATAGAAGTGGGCGACACTTACCTGGTTTCTCTCTTCAAGCATCATAATCAATGTGCCCCATATGCTGTTAGAGTGAGAGAGAGACTGCTCCATATGCAGTTAGAGAGAGAGAGAGAGCTCAATATGCAGCTAGAGAGAATGTGCTCCATACGCAGTTAGAGAGAGAGAAGAGAGATAACCTGTCCCATATGCAAGAAAGGTGGGCGAGGAGGGTGGTTAAAGAACATTTTTAATCTCATTATGGCTAAGATGGGTGAGGTTAACGAAAAGTGGAGAGTCGATTTTAAAAAGTTATTAAATGACGAACATGATGGAAACATAATAGTAGAAGGGATTGTTGGTACAAGTGACGAGGGAGGTCATAGATATATTCGTAGGATTAAGATGTTGGAAGTGAAAGAAGCATTGAAAATGATAAACATATAAAAGGCTTTAGGACTAGATGGTATCTCGATAGAGGTTTAGAAGTGCATAAGAAAAACTGACATTAATTGACTGACAAAGTTTCTTAACATGAAAATGCCAGACGATTGGAGAAAAGTATTGTAGTATCTATTTACAAAAACAAATAAGACATACATAATTATACAAACTATCAAGGAATCAAGCTTATGAGTCATTTAATGAAGCTCTAGAGAGAGTCATTGAACAACGACTAAGGCATGAAACGAATGTATTTGAAAACCAATTTGGTTTTATACCAAGAAGGTTAATCACTGAAGCTATTTCTCAACTTAAGCAACTGATTGAGAAGTTTAAGATGAAGGGAAAAGACCTCCACATAGTTTTTATTGATCTAAAAAAAGCTTATGATAGGGTACCTCAAGTTTTGATTTGACGGATGTTGGAAAAGTAAGATGTCTCTAGACACTACATCGACTTGGTAAGAGATATGTACAATGGAGTGAATACTAGTGTATGAAGAACTAGTGGTGAGACGAGTGAGTTTTCAATGACAATAGGTCTACGTCAAGGGTTAGCATTGAGCCCATACTTCTTTCTCTTAGTTATGGATGACTTAACTAGGAACCTACAATATGAAGTATCATAGTGTATGTTGTTTACAGATGGTATAGTTTTGATTGATGAGACCTGAAACAGTGTTAATACAAAGCTAAAACTTTAGAGGGATGCTCTAGAATAAATATTGCGTTTATATGGCCTTTAAATGCATTATGAGAGCTTATATGAGGATTTTATATAGTGAAACATAAATTCAGTGAGAATGTGGTCCTCTTGTGGAATATGTTAGGCAAATACAATTTATCGATACTTGGACTAAGCTTGACGTGTTAGGCCAGCTGAGTTTGAAAAAACCCAAGATACCTGGGCATAAGGATCTACCAAGAAGGGTTTAGCAGAGATGAGGATATTGAGATAGATGAGTAGCAAGACAATAAGGGATAGAATTCAAAATGAATATATTCGAGAGAATTTAGGCGTGGCATCAATAGACGATAAAACGAAAGAAAGTAGACTTAGGTGGGCTGGTCATATATGACACCAACCAAGTACAACACATGTTAGGAGGTGCGAGTTAGTTCAAGTGGAATGACTGAAATGGCAATGGATAGGCTCAAAAGAACATGGTTAGAAGTAATCCGAAAAGATATAGGGACTTATGACTAAGTGAGGATATGACATTTAATAGAGCAAAATAGTAAACCAGGATTCGTGTATCCGACGTCAATTAAATGAAAAAAATCTACAATGATGATGATGATGAATGGGTAATATGAGAATAATTTTCCCTTATTTATACTCTATTTTATTTGCTTATTTATTTGAAGAAAAAAAAATGAGAAGATGAAGCAAATAAGAGGTCGGTGGAAGAAACAAGGGCATTGATTTGATTACACGACAACGATAATTTTCGATGGACATATGCCACGCATTTCGTCTTCAAATAAATACATCATATTGTATTCTTTGTATTCGAATGATTGTCACTTTGGCAGCTACTGAATATTCTGGGCATCTTTTATAGGGTCTATAAAGATATCATTTATCTTTTGTATATAGATATCACAATCATTATCACTCGTTAGATATCAAATTAGATGGCTTGGGATGAGTTACGAAATTCAATTTTTTTTTTTTTTTTGGAACTTTGCATCTACTCAATAACACTCTTACACCAACCCAATTTGAAATTTAAGGGACACTAATGATTGTGACCTCCATGTACAAAAGATAAATGGCCTCTTTACGGGCCATCCATTTACAACATGCAACACTTCCTCTCCTCTCTTTGTTGAAATTTACAAGGCTTGCGAAAATCTATGCGTGTTAAACACTAATATCGGGATATGATTGGCCAAATATTATCATTATAAGACTTACAACTATTTCAGTCAAGATTCTAATTCATTGAATCCAATTTCACTATCAGTTGAATGGATTGGACTAAAATTTTTTAAAAATAAAAATAATAGTGTTTAACATATGGTATTTTTTTTAATACAAGGGCAATTTCGACCAAATGAAATAGTGACTTTTATGGGCATATAAAGGTCATGGAAATCTATACAATGAGGCCATTTACTTTTGATACAAGGAGGTCACTATCATCATTAACTGGTAGATTTGAAATCGAGAAGTGGATGATGTGTTACTGTTTGGGTACAAAATCAAAAATAATTTTTTTTTAATGTTGTGATACACTTTCATCTATTAGATTTTATATTAAATGACAAAAAAATTGATTGTGACCTCTGTGTATAAAAAATAAATAGTCTCATAATTTACAATCCCAAAAGCCATTGTGCATAGAGATAAAAAAAAAAAGAAATTGAAGAGCTTGTGAGGAAGAGTTCTTATGAGGTAGAGATGGGGGATTTTAAGGAAAAATTATAGCTACCATTGGGCCCTATTTCGGGTGGTTGCAACAATGTTTTCTATCGACAGTAGATCTATAGATACGGATTCAACAATGAAGGTTAAATCGATGACTCTTTTATAGTAGTGGAAAGGGAAATTGGTAGTACTTTATTGATTTTGAAGTAACTCATATCTTTCCACTGATTTTGTAATTCTTCCATGATAATAAAATCGTTTCGTTACCAGCTGCCCATAGATGTACCTAATTTTGGGTGAACTGTAGTCTTTAGCATGTCATTGTGATTTTAGCTTTCCTATTTTTACTGTTCTGAAATTCCTTTTATATTTCCAAAATTTATTGCACCATATATAGTTCTTGGGTATATGGATTTATTGGAATCGATTTTCCGATGATATAAAAGTTGGTTTTAGGTATTAGATTTGTTGTAGAGGGGGGTGTACTGCAACAAAGGATGATTGTGCTAGTTTGGATTCCCAACAAATAGTTAAAAATATAAAATATATTTAAGAAATACCATTTTGTTTAACCATTCCAACCTTTAAAACTGGCCGGTCATATCAATCAAAACTAGTTAACCAATTGCTTTTTTTTGCCTTTTCTTAATGTTTACCAAATAATGACTAATTTTTTACCAAACCAGATTTGCTTTGATTCAGACCAGCCAAAGGACCAGTAGATAGTCTAATAGTTTAGACTAGCAGTTCAATTTGATATTGATAATTATAGTTTCAACCAGTATTTCAGGACTCGGATTGGTGGGGTGTATCATTCACCTATAGATCCATGTTGAATTACTGGATTGACGATCGAGATCGGGTCTAGATCGGTCGAAATAGATGATCTAAAAAATATTAAAAAATAAATGGAATAGAATAAAAATTAAAATAGAGATTTATAGGATGGGGATTGAGAGGACCTAAAAACATTAGATAAACTTAAAAACAAAGAAGAAAAAATATATACCAGGAGTTTAGAGGGAAACCAGGCCGGGACCCATTACTATCCCAGAACTGGATTAGTCTCAACTTATTCTAAGTCGAAACGGAAATCACCGGAATTTAAAGCATTGGTTTCTACATATATGCAACTTATTTATTTGATTAGATCAATGGGGAAGGGGTCCCCTACATGCAGTAGGATTGGAACACATATGGAACTTACTTCTAAGGAACAATAACTTGTCCATCATTTATAAAGAGACATGAATAAGTTGATAATAAT